TGATGGCTGAGGGCCGGGATGGGGTGGGGGGGTGGAGGATAGCATCTCCTTTGCATTCCTCCTCCCCACCTTCTCCAGAAACAGCCAGCGGAGTCAGCCTCCAGACCCCTCCTATCCAGGTCTGGACTCTGCAAGGTCCTCGGTGAGCTCTGAAAGGAGTCCAAACCGGAATGTTTCCCACTCTGCCAAAGGTCCACAGTCTCTAGTGCTTTTCACAGACCCCCTAACCCACCAGTTACTGGAGTTAAGGGACTGAGGTGGGAAGATGCCCTCTGCCCAGGTCAGCTCCTCTGGGCGGCTGGGCGCTCAGATCACCCGTCAGAGCGCGCTGTCCAGGTATCACAGACCGTCAGTTAAGGATAGCGAACACCCCGCCCCCGGCCCCCCATTCCACCTCTCCCTACCTTCCCTGCGGAGCTCTGCTTCCTCAGAGGAGCCCAGAGAAATTCCCTCCAAGGAGGCCTCGCTGCCTGGGCTGCAAGCCATGGCGACCCCTCCACGGCTCCTGGAGCAGCAGTCTCGAGCGAGGTCGGCGCCTTCCCAGCCAGACACCGGCAGCGCTGGAGAAGGCGGGACTCGCCGAGCAATGCGGAATCAGCCAATGGCAAGGCTCCGCCTCCCCGACTGCCTTGCTGATTTGCCAAAGTCCCACCAAGGCGACTGGTGGGAGGGGGCGGTAACGGGTGGGAGGAAGGCGGTGGCAGGGGAGTCATCCTATACCGCTGGCCTGAACCCCATCCTTCCGTGGCAGTGCAGAGAGGGAGGCAGCTGCTGAGCGAGGCCTTTCGGGACCCGGGTAAGCCCCTTTGGACTGAACCCTCCCCTCTCAGCCAATGCAGGAATGTTGGGGGCGGGGGGACCTTGGCCCCATCTTGTCCCTGCACCCCTCTTTTATGGATGTCCCTTCTCTACTATACTATACCCCATGCCGTCCCCTCCCCCGCTCCTGTGCCCCGCCCTCTGACCTCTGCCCTCTTCACAACTCCAGGAGGATTTCTTTACAATAACCCCCTCAGTCACAGGAAGCCCTCCTGGGTAGAGAAGGCACCACTGTTACAAGAGGCTTAAATATCTCAATCCCAAATGCCATTCACCGGGCTGGAGAGTACTGGGGAAGGCCCCAGTACTCTGAGCCCATCTCAGCAGTAGCTTCTCTCCCTACCGTCATCACCCCTCAGTGCTGCTCCTAGGTGAGGGGTGATGCCTAGGAGCAAGCCAGACACCTTATAACTGGGGAATGGAAAAGTAATAGCCATGCAGCAAGAATAAGAGGAAGCAGGAGGGAGGGCCTTGGCCTTACCCAGGCCCTGTGCCCCATTCCTCTGAACCCCTGTGTACCCATGAGGCCACCACTAGGGCACTCCTACTGCTGCTGCTGCAGTTGCTGCCACCACCAGTCAACCAGTCCCTGAGGAGTGGCACCAGGTCACCTTGCATCCCTGGTTGCCATGGCAGCAGGCAGAATTACACACCAGGACAGTAACCCAGGGATGCCAGAGATATTTAAAGGGACAGTTCCATCTGAAAGCAAGCCCACATTCTCACTTGATTCAAAGAAAAGAGACAGATGAAGGAGGAGAAGATAGTGAGGCTATGGGTGAACCCAAGATAGATAAACTCTCAGCCTGTGTGGGACATCACTCACACAGCTTCCCAACATTCCTTACCTAAAGTAAGGGTGAGCTCCCTCTGTAATAACAAGGACCATTTTGACCCATGGGGAAGGACTGGAGAAGGACCTTAGTTTCACCTCTGCAAAGCCCAAAGCAGGGATGTCCCAAGGAAGGAAGTGGGAGTAGGAGGGGAGCCTGACCGCAGATGAGGGGCACAGCTGTCTCCCTGTCAGACCCATGGGAAGCATAATGGGAATGGGCAGAATCCACTCTTAGATTTTGAGGCTGAGAAAACAGTGGAGGGCTGCCTCAGAAAAGAGGAGCACTTTGTACTTCTTTCTTTGGATATGGGAAGCAAAACGCAGCCCATGAGACAGCATCTAGGGGATCAGGGCCCCAGGAGGTGTTTGAGAAAGCAGGCTCCACCCACAGCCCTACCCCCTCCCGTGCTCCCACCAAGGGACCTGCAGCAGGGAAGCTCCACCCTGCGCACCTCTGCTGGCCACTGTTAATAGGTTTACTGGGCAGCCCCGTGAGAAGCCTTTAATCGCTGGCTCAGGGATGGGTCTCATTAACTCTTAAGCAGTTTAGAGGGGGGCCCAGGTCCACTGGAGCAGGAGAAGAGGCCAGGGGGCCTCAGCAGGCTGGACAGGAGATAAAGCACTGAGCCCTCCAAGAAGCTGTACACTATCCAGACCTTCCATGGTGTGGAAGAGCCTTTCTTGGGGAATAAGAGGGTCACAGCCTAGGTTCTGGCTGGCTCAAAGCAACTTTCATTTCCTCAGGGTAGGAAAAAGGAGTCATTCTAACCAAAGTGGGAACCTGAAAAATCTTGCAGAGGGAGCAGCAAGATCCAATGCAAAGAATTCAGATGTCTCAGAACAAAACCAGAGCAGCTCACAGCTACTGCTAGGGCCTCAGAGAGCCTCTAGATGAGGAACTTAACCTGGTGGGTCTCTAAAAGCACTCAAGGGTCCATGAACCCTGGAGTGGGATGCAGACTTGGGACTTAGATGCACATGTCTATGATGGATCTAGGAGCAGTCAAAAAAATAATCATCTCAGAGGAAATGGGTCCTCAAAGGGTGGTGAGTGACTCATGGCCATAAGGTCAATAACAACATACAGCAATGGTGGCTGGAGGAGCACAGGACAACAGTGAAGACTCCTCTCAGCAGTGACCCGTTTCCTCTCACAGCCTTCAAGTGTCATGTCAATTCTTTCAGAAGAGGAAAAGCTGCCTGGGAGGTTCCCCGCTGGCTTCCCGACTTCCCCAGCCTGTCTGTGTGTCCCGCCCTGGGTCTAACACCTCCTAGGAACCATGTGCAGGCCTCTCTACTCACAGCCACCCAGAGCCCCCGCCCACCCTCGGCATGCTGGTGCAGTTCCACTGTAGTGTGTACTTTTCAGTCCCCCCAACCTGCTCTGTCCTCCAAAGCCCACATCCCTGACCACTTCCCAGGGCACTTCCCTGCCATTGCCCTCTGATACATTGTGCACCATTTCTGGAGCTGGTACCCTGGCCCTCAGGTAGGTGAATTGTGCTGCATGTCCAGCCCTCCCTGAAGCAGGCATTCCATCTCCCCCTCCCCAAGAGCCCACAGAAGGAAGATGGCCTGAATGAAGGGCTGAGTGACTGAATGCAACATGGTGTGCGGGTGGGGAGTTGTGCAAGTGTCCAGCTATTGCTGTCCCACCCTCATATCCCCTCTGAACCACTGAGGTAAGCTGATAGCTCCACTCCTTTCTTACCAGACTCGGAGTTGGTGGCAGCAACTGGCATGATGAGGTCAGCAAAGACTCTGAAGTCACTCTCCTGGAGGGGAAGAGAAGATGATGAGAAGGCACAGGGCAAAGCCAGGGCACGAAGAAACAGGAAGGGTATCATCTTCAGGAACAGTCATGTGGCAGGAAGAGAAACTGGGGATTAGATTATAAAAGTGAGCCCAAGCACCCTGGAAGGCAGGAAAAACAGATTGCATGTCCCTTCTCAGAGGAGGAAACTGGGAGGATCAGAGAGGTTAATCAATCTTCCCCAAGGCCCCAAAGCTAACAGGGAGAGCTACAGTAAAAACCTAGACTTTGTGGCTGTAAAAAAGAAAACAATGTTTCTAGTTGGGGACAATACTGAATGTCTGTACTGTGGTACCAACTACTCATGAGGTCAAAGCAGAAAGGTCCCCTGAGCCCAGGAGTTTGAGGCCAGCCTGAGAAACACAGGGAGACCTCATCTCAAAAGCAAACAAAAAATAGAATTCTTTCGCTTCATTTTTTTTTTTTAGGTTGGAGGGAGGATCAAGTATGAGTCCCAAATATAAGCCCACAACAAGAAAGGTGTCCCCAAACTATAAGATCCAGAAGAACAAAAACAACCTCCAGGCCCCAGGCCTAGCATTTGCGAATATCCCATGAACACTGGTGTCCAGCTGAGAGATGGTACTTCCTGTCTAAGGCCACTCTGGCTTTTCTCTCTCCCTCTCTTGCCTACTAACCCAGAGCTGGGACAGGGAGAAGTGGGGCTGGAGGCAGCAGGCATGGAGTCTGCAGCCCTAACACCCACCCCAGGGTCTCCCCAAGCTGAGGTTGGCTCCTTCATCACTCCCAGGAGTGGGGAATAGGGTGACCCATCACTCTTCCTCCCCTTGCCTTCCCATGTGCTCCTGGATAAAACCCTAATTCCCCAGTTGCCATGACAACAAGAGGCAGTGGCTCACAGCAAGAGTGGGGGAGTAGGGGGAAGCAGCTAGCAGAGCCCACTTTAGGACTAAATGCTGCTGGGGCTCCCTGGGAGGGAGGGGGCACAGGGGCCACTCCACCTCCCAAGAATCCAAAAGGATTCTTCCAGAAAAGCTACTACCTGGTTTCAATAAAAACCCTGTCTGCTCCCTTCCTCTTTCAGGCCTGAAATGATGACCTCAGCTCTGGAGGCAGAAATCACAAAGGTGAGGGGAATGGCTCCCTTTCCTCCTGGATTTCCGGAAGAATTGAGCTTGCAGAGAGAGGAAGGGACCTCTTTCACTGATACTGCACACTGAGAGGAATGTCCACTGTGCCAGCGGGGGGGGGGGGGGGGGGGGCGGGGCCCTTATGCCAACTCCTCTATCCTTGTTCCTAGAGAACTAGGGGCACCGTCTCCTGTTCCCTGATAGAGGTGTTTACAGGGCCATAGGGAAGACTCCTTCCCTAACGGGAGGTAGAAAAAGACAGGAAAGATCTTGTAGAAGAACCCTAGGCCAGGGCGTCCTGCCCAGCCAGCCCGGGTTTGCTCCCTGAGGAGTTGGTTCCCACGGCGTCGGCTCGCTTCGCCCCACCCCCACCCAAGCCTCTGAGAGGGCGGGGCCGGCTGTGCCCACAAGAGAACGGCAGTGCCAGGCAAGCCATCCTGGTTCCATGCCAAGGTCTCAGGCTCTGTCATCACAGAACCCGCACCTAGGCTTCAAAAGCCTGAGCCCAGGTACCCTTCACCCCCCACCATCCCACCACCCTCGCACACACACAATCCACCACCAAGCCATCCACATCCCTCAGAGTGTCTATAGGTGAAGCCGGACAGCCTCAAAGGGGGAGGTTTCCTCCATCCTCCTACCCACTCCATCAGTGCAGACCCAGAAAGGTGTGGAAGAGGAACATCTCACAAAGGCGCTTTGGAGCCCTATACGGTCATGGGGAACACTGGACAGACCTGAGGGCGGGAGGATGGGGTCTAGAGAGCAGGAGGACGTGCCCGCACTCACAATAAGATCGCCCCCTCCCCTCCAACCTGGTGCTAACCCGCTGGGCTCTAGGACCCGGGGAGGAGGGGGCGTGTTGCGAGCGATCAAACAAGGCTCTCAGCTCGCGCCCGGGAGCCCAGGGGATGAGGTCACTGAAAGACTACCCCCCCCCCACCCCCGGTCCTTTTCCTTGCCATACCCTTAGTTGACCTAACTTTCTGACCCTGGCTCCTCGTTTCTGCCACTGGTCCCCTCCGTAATCCCCAGGCTTTTAAACCCTGGCCCCAGGTCCCCTACACCTCCTCCGCCTAGCAGCCTGGGTTAGCAGAGCGCCTCTCCCCAGGACCTCCTCCCCGGGAAGGCCTAAGTATTGGCCCTCCTGGGGTGCTAAGGGACCCAGCACAATCTCAGTTTAGCTCCCCCACGGCCGGAAGAGCCAGCAGCGCTACTCTTACGTAACGCCGGGATCCGAAGTCCCCCTCCGCCACCACCACCACCAAGCTGGTGGCACCGACCCCGGAGGGGCCGCGCGGATACCTGGGCTCCCTCGGCTCAGTACCCCGGTGCCGGGTATCACTCTGGAGCCTCGATCGTTGGGGTGGGGGCCAGCGTTCCTGGAATGCAGGGTTCGGTTCTCCCCACCAGCATCCAAGAGAGAGAGAAAGAGAGCGCCAGGGGATGCGGCTGGAGAGGGAGGGGCCTGGCCTGAGGAAGGGGCCCCGGAGTTTGGACCCGGAGAATAGGGTTCCCAAGTGCCATGCCAGGACGAAAGGAGGCAGGGGTATTGAGATGGGTGCTGGCCAGAAGGCTGGGGGACACCTACCTGCGCCTCCGGGAGCCCCTAGCTCCGGGCGACTCCAGTGCTGCTTGGCGCTTGGCGTTTATTGCTTGTCAACCTCCCGCGCGCGCTTAAAGCGGCAAGGCCTCCTTGGCGCGAGGGGGCGGAGACAGGAGAGGACAGAGGAAGGGAGGGGATGCGGCCGCCTCGGGACCACTGCAAAGTAATCTCGCAGCAGCTGGAGGGTGGGCGAGGAGGCGGTGGTTAAGAGGCATCGAACAGCCCACGGCCTCCCACTCGGGGAAGCACCAATTTGTGTCCCTGGACGCTAAGGAATTCTTTAAAAAGGCAATGGTGGAAAAACTTGAGTCTGTCGGGACCCCGCTAGCACCAGCGTTCCAGTGCCATGCATGTTTAACTTCTCTCTTGATTCACAATTTGGAAAATAGGACTTTAAGATAGAAACTCCGGTAGGGACTTGGCCCAGGGGCAACGTTTAAGGACTCAGATGACTACCTGGATCCCAGACTTCCAAGAAAATATGGGGGGGTGGGATAGGGGGAATGTCTTCGTAAAGGGAAACAGGACTCTATTTTAGGCCTGGACGGGGGAGTTGGTCCATGCCTCTGTCCACTGAATAAGAAAAGAGGGCACATGCTATCCTTCCTGAATCCCATTTACATGCAGTGGCGCTGGAGTGTGACTCAGTTGGTAGAGCACGTGTGTAGAATGCATGAGGCCCTAGGTTCCATCCCCCAGCATCAAAAAGAAGAAAACAAAGGGTTAACCCCACTAGCCCGCCTTTGCTCAGCCTCTGGCTCCACCCAGACCTGCTAGTAAAAGATACTGCACAGCTTCAGACTATTGGTGGCTACTGTGTAGAAGACAGCTTTCACTCCATGGGGGGGACGGGGCGAGGGGGAACCTCCCTGACCTTGGTGTCCCCCTGCTCTCTGCACTCTCCTCTACAATATGTGCATGGGGGAGGGGGCTCTCTTCCTTGCTAATTGGACTCCTAAGATCAAAAATGAGTTGCATCCCGAACACTTGCTTGGTTCCGGAATCTTAAAAAAATGAATTAACTCGAGAATCTATCCCCAAGGCACTGGTCTTGTGTTTCCCAGGAAACTTAGTTTGTAGAGGCTAAACGTTGGGTTATAGGTATGGGAAAACCCACAGAAACAGGTCAAAATGCTCAAAGCTATGTTAAGTAGCTGTTCTCGCTTTTACTGGGGGGCGGGGGGGTGGTGGTGAAGAAAGCTTGGTAGCGACCTCAGGTGGTAGTATCTGGAATTGCAGGCTTCTTCTACCTGAGGAAAAATGCTTCCAACCTCCTCTGCTGTCTAGCCAGACCGTCTTCATAGTTGAATTCAGGAAAAAGTTCCCCTTTCCATTATGAAGACTACTTCCACTCTTGCCTGCCCAGCTTTGCCCAGTGAATCACTTAACTGTTTGCATTTTTTTTAGGAAGGAGAGAATAATCTTGAATCCTCCCACCAAACAATTACTTCCCAATCAAGCAGCTATTACCCCATTAGTAAACCTGTTCCATTCAAAGTCCTAAGGACAAAGTGAGATTCTAGTTCTAGCCCAGCTAGTGGAGCTCACTCATCAGTGTGACTCCCTAGGCCCACCTCCCTATGGTTCAACCTACAAATACCTCTTGGAGTCCCAAAGGACACTACCCCTTCCTACCTATTCAGAGCCTTACAGTTAATCAGTGGTTTGATACAACAGTCCTGTGAGATTAGAGTAGACAGAAATAATTCTCAACAAAAGCTAGGATGTTCCTGTTTCTTTCAGACATGGTACCAGTTTTTGTCATGTCAAATAGATGCAGAAACATTATCTAGTGGTATTTCTAAATGTCATAACAGAAAGTGCCATCAGGTGCAAGATGCTCTAAGTCAGGCCCAAAGCAATCCAGGCCCAGCTTACAAGCAGGTCTGAGGAGGCTACCATGCATCTTACTGCAGCCATAGGGGCTGCACCACCCCAGGGAAGAATGCTCCCCGCCCCAGTCTGTATTACCTCTGTCTTTCTCCATGTCTCAGCCTCAGAGGTCACAAGGGTTCAGGAAATTCTTCCCTTAAAATCGAGGGTGTTTTTCACAGAGAGAAAGACAAATTTAACAAAGTATACACTTCTAGCAGATACTTCCTATAATGGCCACCAGGGTCCGCTAGCAGCTATAGCCAGTGTATGCACCCAGACTCCTGGGATTTACACACACACACACACACACACACACACACACACACAAACACACGCGAGAGAGAGAGAGAGAGAGAGAGAGAGAGAGAGAGAGAATGAATTATTGGTGCAGAGCTACTGAACTGACTACTGTGCATATGAGAAGTCATTCACTTATGCAAAGACATTTAAAACAGTATTTGAAAATATATAGACATTCCACAGGCCTGGAGAGATGGCTCAGTGATTAGGAGCAGTGGCTGCTCTTGCAGATGACCCAGATTCAGTTCCTAGCACCCACATGACTGCTAACAACAGCTGGTAACTCCAGTTCCAGGAAATCCAATGCCCTCTTCTGGCCTCCATGGGCACTACACACATGGTGCACTTTTATGCATGTAGGCAAAACACTCATACACATAAAATACAAAGTTTTTTGAGACAGTGTCTCCCTGTAGTACCAGATGGTCTGGAACTTGCTATGTAGACCAAGCTGGCCTGGATCTCACAGAGATCTGCCTGCCTCTACCTCCTGAGCTCTGCCATTAAAGGTGTGTGCCACCATGCCCCACACTAAATTAAAAATATGTTTTTCTCCTTTGCTCTGGAAATTGTTATTGAGTATGTTAAAGTTGTAATGAAATGCTTCTTCTAAAAAATTTTTTTTCAATGTTTTTAATTTGAAAAGAAAAAAATCATGTTACTGTTACTTTGGTTTAGGTGAAATGGAAATAAATATTGATTTTCAATCTGCAAAAAAAAAGAAATGTTTTTCTCATAGGCCAAAGAATTACCTTGCACAGCCCTTGGTTTGGCCCCACTTGGGAAACGTGTCCCGCTCCCCATCCCAAACTCCATACAGCATCCAGACAAGCAGTTTTGCCTCACATTAAAGTCCAAATTGAGGCCTCCCCAAGGACCAGGAATCCTGGCCCCCTTGCTCCCTTTTCAACCACAGGTAAGACTGAACCTGAAGCCTGCTCCACCACCCAGGGTTGCCACACACAATCTTTCCCTGTACTCAGATTGCCCACCTGGAGGGAAGACCCTGGTTCTCTCTGTGAAGCAGCCACCTCCCTTCTTGCTCTACCCCATCCCAGGCCCAAGACCTGTACTTCTCTGTCTCCTGGCTCTACTTTTCCTATCATCCTATCAGGGTGAGAAGTTGTGAAAACAGTCCCATAGAAATCTTAGCCCAACCATTTGTGTGTGTGTGTGTGTGTGTATACACTAGGCCAGTTATGTAACCTTGCTAATTAGACAGTGGGTGGTTTGTCTCTTAGGCCATCTGATGTGCCTTAACTGATCTCAGGTCCTCCTAGGACAGGCAGGGTCCACCCCAGGACTTCTGGAGCCTGAAGTGTCTAGTCTGAATAGTATGTCTTCTTCCACTGCCCACACACCTTTTAGTTTCCACTGCCCAGTCCTTTCTATACCACATACTTGTCTCCTCTTCTCCCTACAATGCCCCCAGTTTAAAGAAATAAACTCAACAGACTGGCCTACCTACTACCCTGATGTAGGCTATTACAGAGTTCCACAACTGGTCACACACAGAAAATATGTCTGAGAGATGCCCAGCCCTAAGTGACACACCTCAGTGAAACCTCTACACCTAAGGCTCATGGAACATAGGGGACTAGGGGTAGAGAGAATACCATTCCATCCCTCAACTCTCACCAGTGAAGCTTCTCATACGATAGAATGCAATGCACATAGAAGGCCACAGCTAGCTAAGTTTTAGAGAACAAGAGACTGCAGAGTGTGTGTCCTTGGATAGGACTCCTTTACTAAATTTCACCCACCCGAGGCTCAGGGACCACTGCAGAGAGGGAGCAGGAAGATTGGAAAAGCCAGGGTTGGTGCATGAACATACAGAAACAGAGGCTTTCAAGCCACTGGAAACTTACATGAACTTGCAGCAATGATGACAACATGCACAAGACCCACACTAAATCAAACCAAAACCCAGCATAGAATGAGGGAAATGGGCAGCAGGCCCCAATTCTAGCCTAGGAACTATTGGCAATTGATTACTACTGGGTGAGGGAAAATAGATCTTCTTTAAGATCGCCAGATAGGCTGACTAGACTCCAGTGGATGAACTTGCACCAAAGAACATCTGGGTATAAATATGCTTGACCAGACTGGACTTGACATATATGACAAAATGCATGAAATACGGTGTGTGGGGGGAATATGGGGAGTGTGGATGGGGGAGGGGGGTCTAAATTTGATTACGAACTATTATATGAAATGCACAAAAAGTCAATGAAAGTATTTTTTTAATTTTTAAAATTATTTATTTAATAACCACACAATTAGAAGAAGCATTTCATTACAACAGCATTGACATATTCAATAACAATTTCCAGAGCTAAGATGCATCTCT